CAAGAGCAATGCCAATGGTGGGCAGGGCCAAGGTCAGTCCTCAGATGAGAGCTCTTCTGCTCCATCCTGTGTGCCTCAAGCACTTGACTTTTCTCCAAACAAGAGTGAATCTCCTCCTTCCCATGGCTCCACCACAGAGGCAGCTCAGGGTGAAACAGAGCCTCATGAAGACAACACAAGCCCCACTGAGGTACATGGAGCTGGCTGCAGTTATATGCCATCTGAGGTTCATGGAGAGTCACAGACAGGGACTCACAGTTCCTTTCCTCCTTCACCCTGTGGCTGGGCCTATGGGGGGGGGGGGGCTCAGGACTAGGGACTAAAGAAATGTTTGACAAAGGAGTTGGTGGGGGATCAGATGGTGGGAACAGGAGCAGGAACAAGCTGTGGATGGGGAGGGTACACTGCCGAGAGGGGAGTTTACTCCCACTCAGGGTCCACTCCAGCCTTTCCCTTGGGCCCCAGGCTGTGAGTCCTCAGTCATAGGCAAAGCCTGGCTTCCCAGGGTGGTGGCTGGGCACCAATGTGGTACTGGACTTCCCCTCTCTTCACATCCTGCCTAGGGTCTTCTCCTGGACATCAAGCTGGACCAACTCACCATCACTCCTGAAGCAGGAGGCAGAGACCTAGCTGACCGCCCTCTCATAGACTTCAGCAACACCCCTGAGTCCAACATGGCTTTGGGACCCAGCAGCTGGCCCCTGATTGACCTTGTAATGAATACTCCAGACATGGGTAGAAATGATGTGGGGAAACCTCCAAAGGCTGAGCTTGGGCAGGTGAGAAGCTGCAGGGAATTCATGCTGACTTCAGCTCAGGGTGCTATCAGACCTGGGCCCTGCATGGTGCCCTTGGGGCTCACAGCGCTTGTGTCTCGAACTCATGTTGGGCAGACTTGGCTTCTCTATGGTCACCCATTACCATCAGGCATCTTGCTGGACCTGGAGGAGCTCTCAGGGCAGCAGTCACATCCCCAACACCACATGTTCCTCCCTGCTGTGTCAGGGAGTCACACAGTGCTTATGGGTTTGATGGTTATCTAAGAGTCTTAGACACGGTGGTTGAGTCTCCTTGGCCTCGCTGCTGTGCTGAGTTGTTTTTCTGTCCCTGGGCTCCAAGTGGGACTGGATCAGCCACTGGACCTGCTTGTGTCTTTTGTGCAATGGCTTGCCCAGGCAACTGTGTTTACCTTGGTATCTGTTCTCTTCCAGCTGATTGACCTGGGTTCCCCACTGATCCATCTGAGCCCTGAGGCTGACAAAGAAAATGTGGATTCACCACTTCTCAAGTTCTGAGCAAAGCACAACTCTGCCCTTTACTCTGTTTATTTCTGTTGTGGCTTTAGGCCCATAGAAGCAAATTTTGAAAGGAACTGTATTTGATTCGGGGGAGGCTTGTGTCTGGAACGGTGCCCTAGAAGCAAATTTTGAAAGGAACTGTATTTGATTCGGGGGAGGCTTGTGTCGGGGGCGGTGCCCGGGTGGGATTCTCCACTGTGGATATAAGCAATCCACCTGTGTGGCTGTCCTGCTCCCTGCCTTTCCTCTAGGCTTGAACACACCTCTCTAAAAACTTTGTTTTGATTCTTTTGTATGTAAAATAGCAAATGACTGTTTGTAAACTTAAATTTGTTTGAAAAGTTAAATATTCCAGATTTAAATTAAATTATAAAGTACAGTATATTAAAGTATGCTTGATTTTTTTTTTATATACTTGATGTTTGGGCATGGAGCACTGTTTCCATTTCTCCAGACATTATAGGAGACTCATTATCCAGCCTTAATTTTATAAAATGTAGGATAATAAAACTAGTATAAACATCAGTCTCTGACCGCCTGTCATCCAGGCTGGCCTAATAGCCTGCATTATTAATACAGTTAGCTAATTCTGATGTAGTGGTCTAAGGACCACACCTTTCACAGGTGGCTCTGGGTAGCTAAAGTGCAGAGAATAAAGGGAGAAGGAAGGTCTACTTCAACAATATAGGGGCTGAGCCTGCAGCTCTCTTCCCTGGGGCACTTCTGAGAACACACCAACCAGATTATGTGAGACACTGGGAAGAAGGTCACTGGAAAGCCAGTCCGGTGCTTGAAGCCTCACTTGCTAAAGAAAGACTAGCTGCCTGGAAGCCACTAACCTATGGATGACAGCAGAAAGCACCGTGTGGACCCACTCATGTCTCTGCTTCAGGTTGGGACCTCTCGTTGTCCACAGTTGTGAGAAAGAAGTCTGGATGGGTTTCTCATTCTCTGGCTATGTGGTGAATTAAAAGCTGCTAGCTGCAGTATGGTTATGGCATAAACAGTGGCAAAGTGAGGGTTATCACACAGCACTGCTTGTCTGTCCATCTAACATAGATCTTAGGTCTGGCAGGCTGCATTCCCTGAGGGATGGCAGATTCTTCCCCAGTGGGGAGTCCTTGGAATCCTAAGCATTAGCCCTTTACAGTACCCTCACCTTCCCAGATCTAATCCTTCCACATGGGAAAAAGGAGGTGTGGTATTGACTTCGTTAAGCAAGTATTGGGTTTGCAGAAGGGGCTGGGCTGCATTTCCCTTGGGGTACAGTGGGTTGTTTGGTGGGGAAAACCCATTAACCCATGATAATAACTGCGCTACCCTGGTGGTGTCCACTCAGTGTCTGTACTTAGCCCTTAGCTCTGGCTCATGTGTGCCTATCCCTTATGTAGCAGGGCTGTGCTCTCTCTACCAGGGCAGTTGATGTTTGGCAGTCTGTGTTACGATCCCTCTGCTTTCCCCTCTGACGATACTCAGAGGCAGCTTTCTCCTAAGTCTTGCTGGCTGTCCGAAGGGTCAGCTCTGTGACACTGGTTAGAGACTTGGGCTGAGGGGCTGTCGTGAAGTACACAGGCTGATAACTAAACCTTCACCCAGATGGCAGAAGCCTCACTTTGATTTTTTTTACTATTTTTGTGGGGCAGTGTTTCTGAGATCCACATGCTTTTGTGTTGTTGCCACATAGTACTTTACCATGTTGCCTTTGCCACAACTGGTCTGTGGTGTATCACACTGCAGTCTTTTAGAGCTATAGGTTAGCTAAATACCACATGTTTAATCAAAAAGATTGCTAGTTGGTTTTTTTGTTTTGTTTTGTTTTTAAACACTGACCAAAAAAGCAGCTTTGGGAGGTAAGGTTTTTTGTTTTGTTTTGTTTTTAAAGATTTATTTTTTTACTATGTATACAGTGTTCTGTCTGCCTATGTCCCTGCAGACCAGAAGAGGGCACCAGATATTTTGGATGGTTGTGAGCCATTATGTGGTTGCTGGCAATTGAACTCTGGACCTTTGGAAGAGCAGCCAGTGCTCTTAACCATCTCTCCAGCCCCGAGGTGAGGTTTTTTTTAATTTGGTTTGCACATCCTAAACATAGTCCAAAGGGAAGGGAAGTTAGAATAGGAACTCAAAACAGGAACTGAAGCCAAGGCTCCTTACTGGCTTGTGCCTTCTTTTACAACCCAAGGTCACCTGCACAAGAGTGGCCCTGCTCACAGTAGTCTACACATTAGTCATTAATCAAGAAATACCCGACGCTGGAGAGATGGTTTAGCAGCTAAGAGCACTGGCTGCTCTTCCAGAGATCTTGAGCTCAAATCCCAGCAACTAAATGGTGGCTCATAGTCAACTATAGTGGGATCTGATACCCTCTTCTGGCATAAAGGCATACATGCAGATAGAGTACTCATATACATAAAAAATAAAGAGACGGCTCAGCAGTTAAAGGCTAGGCTCACAACCAAAATGTAAGAAAATCCCACAGACTTGCCTAAGGGCCAATCTAATGGAAGTATTTTATCAATTGTCCCCTCCTAGCTTGGGTCAAGTTGACAGAAAATTCTAACTAGGACAACATACTTCGTTTCTGCTACTTTGTAGTTGGCCCTATCACAGGCTCTGGCAGAGAAAGTGAGACTTGCTATATTAAATGCCCACACCCAAGAAGGGAGGTCCTGGTCCCCTAGGCTGACGTGTGTTATCCTTGGCTAGGACACTCCCTTGCCCTCTTGGCCTGCCCAAGTCTCCTTGGGTTTTCCTTGCTCATACCCTCCCGCCTCTTTAGTTTTTAGGCCTAGTACATATACTTGCTTCTTCCAACATTCACCCACCACATGTCAGGTGCCAGGCTCCCCACAATGAATTCAGAAAGAGCCACAGCTCCAGCCTGATGTCCCAAAGGCATTCACTCATCAAAGCTGACCCCTCAGAGTGCTTGCTGTTCTTATCCAAGAATAGCCCATGAAACACACATTTTTTGTTTGTTTGGTTTGGGTTTTGTTTTTCGAGACAGAGTTTTTCTGTGTGGCCTTCGCTGTCCTGGAACTCGAGCTGTAAACTAGACTGGCCTCGAACTAAGAGATCCGCCTGTCTGCCTCTCGAATGCACTCTTAAGTCGTCGTATCTCTATGGCCACAGCACCAGGTTCGATTCCAAAGCCCCCCTACCCGCTGTGGCCCATTTTTCCCAGTTCACTGGGCCTCCAAACCATGTTCCCATCGCCTACTCCAACACGCTAACCGAGCAGCTAGGAAAGCCTTACTGATTAACAGTCCATTGTGCTCTGTCCTCCACTGGCCTTTGCATCCTCCGGGCCTGCAGCAGCTCGACATTGGCACCAGGAGGACCCGCTGCCAGCCCTCGGAACATCTAGTCTGTAGTCCAGTCCCTCTAGCCAGTAACCATGAGGCGCCAGCTGCAGACACAACACGGTGTCCTCGCCCTTGTGCACCCAGGACGCCTTTGGGAACACAAGCCAGAGCGGAGGCTGTTCCTGGCGCAGCTGAATGGGGAGCATAGCTGGACACTGAAGAAAAGGTGGAACAGGAGCAGCGGGTAGCGGCTGGGAAGCCCGACCCGCTCAGCTCGTCACGGACCTCTCCAGGACACGATCAACCAAGCACGTCAGCCAACACGCCGCGCGGAACCACAAGGCCAGCAGAACGCCGGGTGGGCGGAGTACGTTTCCGGCCGAGGGAAGAGTGAGGACGCCCCGGAGGCGGGACTTCCGGCGTAGCGTGGACGCGGCCGCAGGGCTGCTGGTAGGAGTTGCGGTGTATGCAGATGTCGGCGCTGCGGCACGTCGTGTGTGCCCTATCTGGCGGCGTGGACAGCGCGGTGGCTGCGCTGCTGTTGCGGCGGAGAGGTGAGGCCAGGGTTCCTCACTGGAACCTGGGACAGGAACCGGGCTCATCCAGGCCTGAGGCCTGGCCTCTGCACACTCCGCGGGCCTCCGCTTGAGGACGGCCAACCTCTGCTGATTGAATCACTCATGTGTTTCCCCTTCGTTGGATGACAAACTTTCCTCCCACGGCTACCATATCTTCTTGATTTCTAAGCGTAGCCCCACAGGACCTTAGGGGCTGGATCTGATACCAACTACCCATCTAAATTCCTCCCGCTGTGTGGTCCCACCTCATTTCGTCCGCATTCCGCCTTCACGTGGTAGTGTTTATGGAGCCTCAGCCGTAGATCACCTTCCCCGAAGCGCGGGCAAAGAGCCTGAATTTGGATAAGTTAATTAAGCACCCCTCCGTCAAGTGGGATGACCCCAAATTTGGCGTGGCTGGAAATGACATAGTTTGCATTGAAAGGGTTAGCCATGCAATATGAGATAGTTCGGAAAGCAGGAGCGATTGTTTTATATTATAATCACAGCTGCCATGCGATGTATTAAGTGCCAGAGAGGATGGGCATAGCATGTGCACTGTGTGAGAAAGAAGCAAAGCCTAGAGGCAGAAGCTCTGTAGGAGTTGTCTACAAAGGACTGGCTGCTGAGGCAGAGTCAGTACCACAGGCAGGAGTCAGAGGAAAGAGTGCTGACACGGTCTGGCCAGGGTAGGTAGAGGGTTAATCTCCAGGTATTGAAGCTGACATGGTATTAGGGAATTTGGGATAAGGGTGAGTAGGCAGGCCTTTGAAGGTTTCCAGTGAGGACTGTGACTAGATGCTTGGGGGGGTGGGGGGGGGAGAGGATACAGTAGGTTGACTGTTCTCCCAGATTTATCATTTTACTATTTAAGGAAGATAAGCCCTGCTGTCTAGTTTGTATGTCAACTTGTCACATGCTGGGGTCCTCAGGGAAGAGGGAACTCAGAAAATGTCCCCATCGCGTTGCCCTGTAGGCTAGTCATTGAGGCATTTTCTTGACTAATGATTGATGTAGGAGGGTTCATTCCTTCATGAATAATGCTACCCCTGGGCAGGTGGTCCTGGTTTATATAAGAAAGCAGGTTGAGTAAGCCATGGGGAACCAGCCAGTAAGCAGTGTTCTTTCATGGCCTCAGTTTCTGCCTCCAGGTTCCTGACCTGAATTCCAGCCTTGGTTTCCCTTGATGATGGACTGTGACTTTTAGGGCAAAATAAACCCTTTTCTCTCCAAGTTGCCTTTGGTCATGTAATTTATTACAACAATAGAAACCTAGCCAAAACATAGGCTCTTTCCCTTCAGACTGCAACATATCTTATTTCTATCTTTCCTTGGATTTCTTTCATATAAGAAACCGATGGACATATCAGGGGAAAGCATTATCCTCTCATTCTGGCATTGAGGGCTCTAGGAGGTGATGCCCTATCATGCACTCCCTAGAAGGCTGACCCACCCTGGAGTGCCTATCTCCCTGTATGTGGGTCATATCTCTTTGTGAGATAGTTGATCAAGCAGATATGGCATGCAGATAGTGAGGTTCTAAAGCTCTGTGTAGAGTTTGCTCATTCTACAAACTTGTAGGTTTTTAGCTCTCCTTATGCACTCGCTGGGCATTGTACTAGCTCTGGGGATCTAGGGTTGGATTACGCCATCTCTGCCCTTGAGGAGTCCTCTGCTTTAGTAAGTTAAGTGCAAGACTAGTTCAAGAGCTGAGCCCAGCATGGTTAGTGTCTGTGGTAAAGCAGAGTCAGGTGCTTCCAGATGCAGAAGAGGGCCTCATCCCGTACTGGCATGTGCATGACCTAATTTGCATGGCATTTCAATGCACTGGCCTTACCAGTGCAATGAGCGCTAAAGGGAAGAAGAGCCTACAGGGATTACACTACAGTGTAAGCCAGGCACTAGGCCACATGGACAGGCTTGGACTGCTATTCAGAATATACAGGGGCACCAGGGCTGGAGGGGTATGGTGTGTCCGCTTTTCACCCGAATGTGTCTCTCTAGGCTACCAGGTGACAGGGGTGTTTATGAAGAACTGGGACTCACTGGATGAGCATGGTGTTTGTGCTGCTGACAAGGACTGTGAAGATGCTTATAAAGTTTGTCAGCTCTTAGACATCCCTTTCCATCAGGTATCCTATGTGAAGGAGTATTGGAACGATGTGTTCAGGTGAGTGCAGGCCGCCTCACACTCGGGGTTTATTGTACTGTGAACCTTTTCAAGGAAGGATGGAAACAGCCAGTGCTTCTCCACAGAGGTGGCCAAGACTGCTGAAGTTGACCCACAGCACCCTCACTACTCTTGGGCTATTTCCCACCTGCCAGAGGTTTCTTTAATGCCTTTTCTGAACCATGGCATGAAGAGTGAAGGCTGAGGTCTCCCCAGAAGGTGCTGGGAGATGGGTGTCAATACCTGCTGTACTGTGCATAAGTGGTTATGGGAGTGTTCGAAGGCTGAGGTCTCCCCAGAAGGTGCTGGGAGATGGGTGTCAATACCTGGTGTACTGTGCATAAGTGGTTATGGGAGTGTTCTGGTTATGGTTTTTTTGGTTTTTTTTTTTTTGTGACAAAAGCCCAGGGTCATGTGTGAAGAGGGAACTTCAACTGAGAAAATATAGGCAAGTCTGTGATTAATGATAGATGTGGGCGGATACAGCCGACTAAAGGACAGGTGGTCCTGGGCTGTAGAAGAAAGCAGGCTGAGCAAACCATGGGGTGCACGCCAGTAAGCAGCACTTCCATGACCTCTGCATCATTTCCTGCTTTGACTTCCCTGAAAGACAGACTGTGATGAGGGCATATAAGCCAGATAAACCCTTTCCTTCCCAAATTGCTTTTGGCCATGGTCTTTATCATAGAAAGCAAATAGAAAGCAAAGTAAGACAAGAGGGGTGGAGGGAGTTTTGTGAAGCATTGCCTTGGCCTATTGAAAACAAACAGTAAGCAAAACTTTTACCAAATCAAACATAGTAATATTTATTTATTTGTTTGTTTATTGGTTTTTCAAGACAGGGTTTCTCTGTGTAGTCTTTGCTGTCCTGGAACTCACTCTGTCCCTAGACTGGCCTTGAACTCACAGAGATCTGCTTGCCTCTGCCTCCAGAATGCTGGAATTAAAGGTGTGTGCCAACACAGCCTAGCACAAACACAATAATTATTACTGTTTACTATATGCTCAGCAGTGTGCTACATCTAAATAATATAAAGTATATACATCATAACCCTATTTTGTAGGAATTGGCTATCTACTTGAATGATAGATTCTTTACCAGAGGTACTGATGGTGGTGAGCATCCTGTAGGAAATTCCCTGGTTTGAGAGGAGGGAGAAAGGTATGGCATAGAGTATGGTCTGGCAGCCTAACAGAAGAGCAGGGGCCTGAGCCACTTCAAGGAAGGCTTAAGTAGAGTCTGTTATTTGGGGTACAAGAGCAGCAGTGAGGGTGTTCATGTTCCTCATCTACCTCAGGAATGTGTGAAGTTTGGCTAGCCACTAATTCCTGCAGAGAAAGACACCCAGGCTAGTCTCTGGTGAACCTTCACAATGCTCAATGCCTGGAAGTCCTTGCACATGTCACAGATAACAGGCCATGTTCACTGTGGGTTGCCCTTGCCTAAATAGGCCTGTCTCAACTTTGCCACTTAGAAGACCTTTGACAATTCATTTGATTTTTCTAAGTCTCAGTTTTCTTATCTTTAACTCAAGGATAATTCTCATACCTACCAGGAACGTTGCAGGAATGAATTGAAGTCATACAAAGTTCTAGACCAGTGCCTGGTCCATATACATATGTTTTGGGAATTTTCCTGTTGCTGTGATAAAGCACTCTGACCAAGCCAACTAATAGAAGAGTTTATTTGTGCTGACAGTTTCAGAGGGATGAAAGTCTACCATGGCAGCAGGCAGCAGACATGGCAGCGGAACAGCAGCAGAGAGGGTGACCTGGGAATGGCATGTGGCTTTTAAAACCTCAAAACCCTCCCCCAGTGACACATTTCTTCCATCAGGACTACCTCCTAAGCCTGCCCAAACTGCACCACCAAGTGGGGGCCAAGTATGCAAACTTCTGAGCCGATGGGGGTCATTCTCATTCACACCTGTGAGTTCTGAGAAGTTTCTTGACATAGTAGGAAAATGATAATGAAGCTCTCACGGTGGAGAGAAGTACAGTTTTGGGACAATAAAGAGAAATTCCACATTAAACAAGCAACTTAACTTTAATTTGTTTTTTTTAAGGAATGTAGCACTTAGATCTGAGGGTGTTTTGCTTTATTCTAGTGACTTTCTGAATGAGTATGAGAAAGGAAGGACTCCCAACCCTGACATCATGTGCAATAAGCACATCAAGTTCAGTTGCTTTTATCATTACGCCGTGGACAATCTTGGTAAGGAATTGGGATCTCTTCATCTGCTTGTTAAAGTCATAGCTTTCCAGACATAGTCAGAAGCCAGAACCTTGTAGACAGTTTTGTCTTGCAGAAGGAAAGTGCTCACTGAATAAGAAAGAGAGAAAAGCCTGATGTCTGATGGAGAAAGTACAGTCTGATGAAGACATTTTCTTAACTAAGGATTCCTCTTCCCAAGTGACTCCAGTTTGTGTGGAGTTGACCAAAACTACAGTACAACTGCCAGCAAATTAAGCCTCACGTTGGATCCTTGTGTTTTGTAAACCTTCCAGGAGCAGATGCCGTTGCCACTGGCCACTATGCAAGGACCTCCCTGGAGGATGAGGAAGTCTTTGAGCAGAAGCACACTAAGAGACCAGATGGGCTGTTCAGAAATCGATTTGAAGTCAGAAATCGTAAGTTCATGTGTGTGGCCAGAGCTCTAATCTCTGTGAGCACGGGAGCACTTTGAAGGATGACAGGAGTGGGGGCTGAGCATGCAGCCCCCCTCCCAATCCTGTGTGCTCCCGGATTAGCTGGTTTGTTTAGGTTCAGAGTTGCAAAGGCACAGGTAACAGCAGGGTCACCTTCCCCGGGCCTGTGGGTGAGCATTGTAATGCTCTGTCAGGAGTCGGGGTGAGAGCTGAGGAAGGTGATCAGAAACTTATCATCTAGGTTATTACATGTTGGTAAGTTGAACTTCCAGAAATATTTGACGGTAATAATTGGAATGGTTTTAACAGGGTCCCAAGCAAATGGAGAGTGACTTCCCATCCTGAGTAGATAAATCTGCTCATGTCAAGGACATGTTCACCTTTGTCTATTCCATACTTGTTGTGACCCTCCTGAGATAGTTAAGCACTGCGTTGAGTGGTACCCTATGCTAGTTTAATAATGCCTCGGTTTCCAGTGTGTGTTTTAGACAAACCAAAGCTGTTCTGTGGCTTTGGTCTGAGTCCTAGGGGATCATCCAGGTGGAGGCAGAAGAGATCTTGGGCTCAGGGAATGTCAGTAGTTGTGGAACTGACCTTTTAACCAGCTGGTTTTCTTTTTTTCTTTCTTTCTTTCTTTTTTTTTTTTTTTTAAGACTTATTCATGTATTATGTATACAGTGTTCTGCCTGCATATCTGCTTGCAGACCAGAAGAGGGCACCAGATCTCATTACTGATAGTTGTGAGCCACCATGTGGTTGCTGGGAATTGATCTCAGAACCTCTGGAAGAGCAGCCAGTTCTCTTAACCTCTGAGCCATCTCTCCAGCCCCACCAGCTGGTTTTCATCTGAACATGTTGCAGTGCCTGGCAGGACAAATAGGAGGGCAGGATCCCGGAAACAGATAAGCTCTGAACTCTAGCAGGCTTCATCAGATGTTAGCTCCGTCTGCTCTTTCCTTCTTTGGCATTTTTGTTAGTGTTACCAGCTTCCTGTTTCAAAGTCATGGGTTTTCATTGTGTTTTATAATAACTCAGAAGGTAGATATGGGGACACACCTGTAATCCCAGCATTCTGGATACTCAGAAAACAATCAGTCGAAAAGAATCCAAGACAAAATAACTCAGAACCAAGAGAAAATGCACACAAACACTATTTGAGAGAATTTGGTTTTGACAGAGATTGAATTCTAGTCTTATTTTCAGCCAGTTGCATTGTTTCTGACAAAGTAACAGGTCAGAAATGGGAGGCAGCTCAGTCTGTGGAACAGCCTTTTGGCACCTGCATCATCATGGGCCAACCTTAGTCCTGGCTGTAAAGATGGGGGAAATGCTCCTTTATAAGGAGATGTGAGAGCCAGGAGGTAGAAACCTATAGGCAATATGATGCTCACTGCTGCCTGTTGTGTGAAGTGTGCAGTGGTGTTTAAATTGTAGAGCTGGAGAAATGGTTTCATCAGTAAAGACAATGACCTCAGTTCAATTCCCAGAGCCTATGTAAAAACAGCAGGCATGGTGGCATGTCCATGTAATCCCAGCACTGGGGGAGGCAGAGATAGGCTAGATAGGCTAGCCTAGTTGGTAAGTTCTGGGCCAGTTAAAGACCATCTCAAAAAAGAAAGTGGTGACGCCTGAGGAGCAGCAGTTGAGGTTGTCACCTGACTTCCACACTCGTGTCCTGACATGGACAAGCTCTCAAATGCATGTACACACACACACACCACTGAGCTGGTGTGTGTGGAGTGCTCCACATTTCACTCTGGGATTTCTCCTAGCACTATGTGTGAGAAAGGGTGGAAGAAGCAAATCTGCCCACAGACCAGAGTAGGAACTGTCTTCTTAGGGAAATTTACCTAGCCACCTTCTCAGTCCAAAGTCACCAGGGCCATCATCACTCACAGCTGTGTACATGCAATAAGCTTTCCTTAGAGTTAAGTTGAGAAAGTTAGAGAAACCACAGCAGGGGCTGGCACAGTTTGGACTCTGTAGCAAAGCTGTTTCCATGCTGTTGCTGAGCTGCAGGCCAGAGCCCTGTGTGTTTCTTTGCACACTGCACATGCCTGCAGTTGATAGGCAACTTCACTGCTGACCCTACTTCAGCATAATTCTGGATGAGCTGTCTTGTTCGGTCTCCCAGATGTGACTAGATTTATTTTAGGACTGTTATTTCTCACTTTACTTTTTTTTTTTCATATAGTCTTAAAATCAAAATTACAAGCAGGGATAAGTTTCTGTATGCAAAATCTACCTTCCCTGTGTTGTTCCTTATAGATAGATCAACCAGGGGCCATGTACTTTAGCCATGCTGGTATTTTTTCCCATAGTCTTTTGAGATGGGTTTGTTTCTGGCAACTGGCGGGTAACTGCTCACACTGAAGGGCATTAAAAGCAAAGAGTTATTATCTGTGTTCCTGCAATGACTTTTGTTCTTTACTCTTGGCAGCCGTAAAACTTCTCCAAGCAGCTGACAGCTATAAAGACCAGACCTTCTTTCTCAGCCAGGTTTCCCAGGATGCCCTGAGAAGAACCATCTTCCCCCTGGGGGAATTAACAAAAGATTTTGTAAAGAAAATAGCTGCAGAGAATAGACTCCATCATGTGCTTCAGAAGAAAGAGGTAGGAGTGAGCAGCTGGCCATTGATTTGTGAATGTTTCCACCCATGTTGTCATGGCACAGTCAGGACTGGGCTCTGTGGGGCCTTTGCTAGGACCCATTGGACCAAGCCACAGCGCGGTTGCAGGTGAGGAGCAGCTGAGGCTGACCTCTTCCTCCTTTCCCTTCTTGTGCCTGCTGTGGCCAACTGCTTTCTCAGCAGACATGGTAACTGGCTTAGCCAGGCAGATGAGTGTGGGTGGGGAGCAGCCATCCTGGCCCTTCCCATGAGACAGGAGTCTGCAGCCATCTGTACACAGTGCTGCCTATCCAAGGAGACAGTAGCAAGCAGACAGTTCCTCTCCACCTTCTCAGAGCTCCCTGTAGAAGGGCACTCATATACTGCCTCTGAGATACCAGGCTATCCCCTGTTGGGGGAGAGCTGGAATCCTGGGAGAAGCCCCAGTAAGTCCAGGTTTGATTAGAGGTTGGTACAGCTTCACCTGGAGCCACGCATGGCTGTGCCTTTTATGAGCAAGTCCACATTGCCAAAGAGAATGTCCCTTGCCTGTTCTGCTGCCTTCTCTGTTTTTCATTTGACAGCGTTTCTCCATGGTAGGAACTAGCAGAGGCACTGCAATAAATGGGACAGACCCCTTCTCTCATGACCTGTATTAGAGAGGGACACACACTGGGGAGTAATGGCAGAGCTGTTTGCCCCGTGCAGTCCCAGGGAGATAAGCTCCTTGCCTGAAATCCCAGCTGGGCTCAACCAGCTACAGCCATCTCCTCCCTGACTCCCCTGCTGCCTTGAGTTGGCATGACCCTGCTCCCTGTCCATGCGTTGGGGTCTGGCTCTCCAGAAGTGAGCAGTCTAGTTTGCTCTCCTGGATTGCTCATACAGGTTTTCCAACACAGTTTAGTTGCAAATGATGTAGTGTGTTTACATGATAGCATCCACTTTAGAACCAAACTCGGAAAGACAAGATATTCTCTAGGCCTCCAAGTTCTGTTTTGTGTTGGTGCTGAATTCTGGGGCCTCCTGCAACATAGCCTGCTGTCTGTCTGGCACTGGTGCTGTCCTCCTAGCCCAGCCTGGCTCTCTGTTCCCTGCTTTGCCTCCTGGCTTCTGCTTACATCATGTTGGCCTTCCTCTCATTCCAGAGCATGGGCATCTGCTTCATTGGTAAAAGAAACTTCGAGCATTTCATTCTTCAGGTGAGTGTCCTCTGACATGAGTGGCTGTCAGGCACTGGGCCTGGGTTTCCAGTAGTGATGAAACTTGTCTTCCAGTATTTGCAGCCTCGGCCTGGAAAGTTTATTTCTATCGAGGATAATAAAGTTCTGGGAACACATAAAGGTGAGTTCTGCCAGCTTTGGGAACTAAAGGCCAGGACTAGCTCCTATCCATCCCATGAAGGGCTTGGGGAGGTCTTGAGGGGAATGCTGGGGTGGGTACATGTGGCATGAACAGTCACTCTGACAGGAACTTGGTGTGTACGTGTGTGTGTGTGTGTGTGTGTGTGTGTGTGTGTGTGTGTGTGTGTGTGTGTGTTTTACATTCCTAAAAGTATGTTGTTGATTGCTACGGGAGTACAGGGAAGACTGCAGGAATGCCATTGGGGAAAAGAATGTGGCTGACCTCATAGCCAGGTGACTGAGGACCATATGGGTGCCATTTACGTAATCACAGAGGAGGACCACCATGACCAGCGCTGTGCTGCATGTGAGGACAGTCACAAGTGCTCATTGTGGGGACAAGCAGTATGGGCTGGAAGGGACATGCCTCCTGAGACTTGATGTCTGGACCCAATCTGTGAGACTGGCTAGAAGGTCAGGGTACACTTTTTTTGCGGGGGAGGGGGAGTTCGAGACAGGGTTTCTCTGTGTAGCTTTGGAACCTTTCCTGGCACTCACTCTGGAGACCAGGCTGGCCTCGAACTCACAGATATCTGCCTGCCTCTGCCTCTTGAGTGCTGGGCTTAAAGGCATGTACCACCACCCCAGGCCAATTCACTAATTTTTCTTTGTATCAATATTCTAGTTATTTTACATATATCCAAGGTCTTTGAGTGTAATTATGTAAAATCCGACATACACATTTTCATTTACAAGGGCTAATCTTAAGGTTCAATTTGACTAAGTAAACTTATGACAAACACTAAGGTTGAAGCTCATTTAGTTTTGTTGATTTTCCAATGTTATTAACACTTATGGCTGACTTTACGTACAGCAGGTTACCATCCATAGTATGACTCATCCTAATCAACTGAGGCCTCAAGTACAAAGATGAAAGTATCCAAAAGCTAAGGAATTCAGTCTCAGCAATGAAAGATGGAAATTCTAGTTTCCACCCTGCTGACTAACCTGATAACTTAGACTTAGTGGCTTCACAAGTACTTGAGCCAATTCCTTTACTACAGG